ATAATACTTTTTAATATTAACTTTCAATAGCGCAAACTAAACTTTTACAAGTCGTAATTTAAAATGACGTTTATAATTTCTAATGACAACAACAAAACATACTTTTTCCCATAATTCCCAATTTACCTACACCAACTGGTGTTGACAGCTCAACAACCCTAGCGCCATCTAAGAGAGAAAAGTAATAAATTTAATTACAGAATTGTACAGTTTATAATATTCTACCGTAACGCCTATGCCACATCGTTATTGAAACTTTCAATATTCAAGCACAACTCAAATGATATTTCATTCAAATTTTCTCTTTTTTCTATACCTATTATACATATTTTGTTTTTTATCAAAGTTTCCTAAAGTTCATAGGTTGCCTGGTAATGGGTAACCTGATGACGCGTCTGAGGTGCTCTATGGAGATTTGCATTATGTTGAGGTCCCCCAGATGACGTCATAAAGTTATCAGGCAACCTACCTTTCTCAAACAACCTTGGTTTTTTATCATTAATGTTACCTGTGAATTCTCAAAATACAATGGTACAATTTACCTTCTTTTCTCTTACTTTACTGATAGCCTTTATGTTACCAACACCAATGGCCAATAGAAAACTTTTATTTTTAGCTACAGCAATTTTAATTGGTTCTTTTAACATTACCAAATCACAAAAATATGTCTTCTTATTCACCATATAGTCAGTACAATCAAAATCAATACAAAACATTTAAAGATCAATGTTCTCATTATTTGATTCTTGATTCACCCAAAAAACAAATGTTTTGCTTTAGTCTAGGTTATCTTCACTATTGTTATTAACAAAATTAGTAATTAATTGTCCTACGGGCCGGTTTATCAATACAGGGTTACTCTATAAGTTAGGGATAACCATGGGTCAAAATTGTGACAAGTGTTTATCCATCCAGGGTCAACTGCTGACTCGAAAGTTATTCCAGGAAAAAGTTAACCCGCGCTCTCACAGCACGTTAGCATATTTGACCTTGGGTTAACCTTAGATTTTTTTGTTTATTTTAAAACAAATCGAGCTTAGCTTCGAGTTCCCAACAAACTATGTTTGTTTTTGTTTTTCAGACATTCGAAACATCGGGTTTTTACACAACTTTTCGCTATAGAGAAAAAAAACAAACAAAAAATACATAAATCAATAAGTTTATGAGCAGAAAATGCCAAAAAATTGACAAAAGTGAGCTGGCAACGTTGCATAAGTAATGCCAACATTGCATTGCCAACCTTCGAAGAATCCGAGAGTTTCTAGCCCTGGGTAAGAAAAGCTTTTCACACACTTTTCGACCTAACTAGGGAGTTAGCCCTTGATTAATAAACCGGCCCTAGGTTTGTTTCCATAGCTGTTCTGAATACCTGAACCACAAAATGAACCTCTCTGACGATATCCTCTACCTTGGTCTTCATATCTCTGATCTGCTCCATTGTCATATTTCCAAATTTGTCTTTGCTGATTATTATCCTACCTGCCACCATAACTTATACCAGAATTCTTTTCTCGATCTCGATTTTGATGAAAATGTCCCATAATCGTTGGTTATTTAACGTTATTGAATTTTTTCCAGTCCTTGAAATGACCGGATTCGCCACATGTATTTCTGTGTAGTAAAAGCAAATGTGCTGTTCTAACCATCAATAATTATTTTGCCTAACTTTCTTTTAGTGAACTTGTAGTGCTTTGAATTTTGGCGGTTAATGTCAATAGTTTTAAGCCGCTTTAATAAGTAGAAGAAAAGATGACTACATATGAACAATGAACAGTGAATAAGTTTAAATATCTTCCAAAACGTTCAGTGATCCTTAAAAATTATTTTCGAAAGTGTCAGCGTCAGCTTGTCTTGAAACCACACATCAAACTTGACTTTTTAGGTTAAAACTTCATTCGAATATTTACGCGCCAAAATTTAAAAAGCTCCAACTACAGAAGCGCCCTCTTCAACTCAACTGTCAATATTACATGCCATTTCATCGAAATCATTTTCCATTGATTGTCCCTCATTAACCTTCATTAATAATAATGTTCTTTTCAAAAATAGCTTGCCTGGCAAACCTTTTTGCTCGTACTTCTTCTTCAAAATCTGCCACATTTAGGGTTCCGCAAGACCAAGACCAAGACTGGCCAGTCAATGGTCGGGGATCAATCTCTTAGAAGACACAACTTTCCTTGTAGAGGGAACCCAGACTTGCTTTGGAAATGCAGTACAGCATGGTCTCAAACTTGTCAAAATTTTCAAGTGTAGGCGTGGATTTTTAATACTCTCCCAAATTGCCTAAACGGATTGAAGAAATATAAGGACTCATTTATCAAAGGGAAAAAGGGATTTACATACCTAACGGCCGATAGTTAACCTCACTTTTCAAAATTTTCACAAAAAGTCAGTTGATTTTCCAAGAAACGTTCCAGCTGACATAATTACTCACTACTCTGGCTAGTTAAATTTATATAATTTTGGGCTCGATGGCCAAGAATGAAAACCAAAGTTTTTGGATTTTCCAGAGACGACCTTTTCAGTCTAACTATAAAATCGAAAAGAAAAGTCAAAAGTACCCCTGCGGTTCTCTCTTTCTTCCTCTGTCAAGCCTGTCGAAATTATAAAAATGACAGCGCTACCGGTTTTCTCAAAAATAACTTTAGTTAGGTTCCTAGTTGGAGTGGAGTGAATAAAAGTAATGGAGTCACCCCTAATATGGTAAAAAGCAGTACCCAAACAGCTGGAGTGTGAATGGAGTTACTCGGAGTGCCGGAGTGATCAAATCGAAACCACCTTTTGATAATATAATTTTCGGTATTAGGTTAGGAAACTAGTCAGAAAAATCATAGATGTCGCCAGTTGTACCGAATAGTATTTTAAACTTAGAGCAAGTAAAAGACATAAGGAGAAGGAACGCGCTAGCTCTAAGATTTTAAATGAGTCCAAAATATATGAAATTAATTGAGAAGAATTAAATATGTTCTTGTGACATTTCAAAATGTTACAACTATTCTACATACTTTTTGACATAGGTACATTTTATCATCTATCAAAAATACAACAATCTAACCACCAGACATCAGGGTCCTTATTGTTGAAACTGGGGAGCAGCGTTCCCAAGAGAAACAATGTTCTATCTTTCTCAATGATAAGTAAATTATAATATAAGTAACAAAGACGAAAAACTCGTTCACCTGGGAACACAGCTCTCCTGTTTCAAGAATAAGGGCCCAGGTGTAAGTAGATTTTAGCGTAATCTCAACATCCACCCTTGGTTTGTCTCCGTAGATACCAGGTTTGACCCCTTTATTGGTCTTGGAGCTGTTGATGTACCAGATGTAGTCTACTTTAATTGGTGGACCTTCTTTCCAGTCATCCCTATCCAGTATAAGGGAAACTCAAACAAGGAGCTGACCTTCACAAACTCCTTTATTTTTCAGCTCATGGTCCTTTGATGTTTTATAATTGGACTGTGGCCTTCTTTCAGTCTGTAGATAAGTAGGAACGGTAGGATTATCAGCACCTCCGGGGTTGCATTTGGGGCTGTTTCCATGACCCCTCTGATGCATACCCAGGCTAGCCTTTGACCATTTTGAAGCTTTGTGATTGTTACGGTCTGCGTGACTTTTGTACCACAGGCAACCAAACCATATATTATCATTGGTTTTTACCCCCTCTTATTTTTTTACCAAACATCCCCCATGATATTTAAGTGAACCTTATTTGTTTCAGATAACAAATCTATAAAAAATAGCACCCATGTATAAACAAACTACTTAAGTTAAAACATCATTATTACTTTTCACCCAGGCGAATCTTATCCGGAAAAAAGGAGGGGCAAAAATGAAAATGAATTTGTTTGTTTTTTGAGCACACGGCGGCGCGGTTGTTGTTTATGTGAATTAAGTTAAAAGTTTTGCGGGCAACGTCGTATTTCGATTAGGGCAAAGCGAAAGGAGCTGCCGGCGGCTCCGGGGGCATCTTTCCGCGTCGGCCATAAACAAAATTACTAGGAATTTTGTAGGATCAATTTCCCCTATCCATTAGGGGGCCGAGACTCTATGCGCTTCCCACGACGACTATTACATTTTGTATTATTCATATGGTATATCGAAAAAAGGAAGTGCGCCGCATCGATTCGTGATGTGCGTATGTGCCGGGGCTTAAGGCCGCCCTGTTTATCCTTCCCCAATTTGCGAAATGACTTGCCGTTATTTGTGAGGGTGACGAAAACGAGGCATAAAAAAAATAACAGTCACATTGGAAATTCGTATGCGTTTTCAATCATTTTGTCTATTAAGTGAGGGCTAAAATCACGGTTCCATACATGCGCAATAGGTACGGCAATGCGGCAGTCAGTATGCCTTAGGATAATATTGTAGAAACCCATATAAAAAATAATCTTGTATCTTTCGTTTTGAATGCCAAGGAGAATATTGTCTATGACTCTTTGGAATGTGGACGGGGCATTTTTCAATCCAACTGGTATACGTATGAATTCGTAATGGGCATTTTCTACGGAAAACACGGTTTTCGTACCTACACCATATAAAATCATGAAGAACAAGTTACTGTTTGTTCAAAATAAAAACCAAACTAATCCCACTCAAACAACAACAAAACAAACAATTATTTATCAAGCCGCATTGGGTTTTTGCAAAAAACAGAAAAATTACAATTTTTTTGCAATATTGTCGGCGCCAACAAATTTGACAATCGGTCGCCCACTGAGAGAAACTGATATTGTGGATGCGGCGCATTTTGTTGCCTTTTTGCATTTTAAAACGTGCCACGTACGCGTACGGCGTGGCAATATCGGAAACGCGTCCAATCGGGCGGCAGAAAACCCAATCATTTCCGGTGTCAGGACGCATTAGTTGCCGCGTTATTTTGATGATCGTTGACAGCCGAGCCTGATGCCGACGCTCATATTTTACCCGGGTTTTGTTTTGTTTTTTTTCCCCTTCTTGCAGACGGTTTTAAATTTAGTCACAAATCTATATTATTTGTTTCAGGTTTATTAACGCAAGGCGGAGGATAGTACAACCAATGATCGACCAGTCAAATCGAGCGGGTAAGTTTTTATTCTTTCATTTCGATTATTGTTTGGTAGCGGACTGGTGTAAAAAAAGTTAATGTCACAAGATTATTAATGACAAATGTAAAAATGTGCTTTTATTCGCAATCGATTCCGTTCCATTCTTGTTCCTCTGCTGAAGACAGGCCGAAGAGAAATGGAGGAAACCGTTGACCCTTGCGGACCGATTCATCACGCGCCGCACACAATCGCCCCCCTTTTAACAGCCAACTAGGGAGAGGAAATTTGATAGAATTTCTTTCCTAAAAAGGCCTCCCAATGGATATCAATGGTACACCTAATAATTAAAACTTCTTAAGACAAAAGTCCTTCTCAATCTATATGGTTATATTTGAAGCGTGTGTGTGTGTGTGTGTGTGTGTATAGTGCGACCGCGACCGACTTATCTCATTTTATTTATTTTTTTCGTTTTAATGAATCGTGATTTCCATTAAAGCTTAACGTTGCTCGGTGCATTTTTGAAAGATATGGGGCCGATCCCATATACCGGCAATCGGGACCGATATGAATTTTAAGTGAAAAGTCTTGTATATTTATCGTAGGGCACGGCCCCGTAGTGGATACGACGTTTATAATTTTTTTACCGCACGTTGCATTTTACACTAAGGAGAGAGAGAGGACTTTCGAATTACAACCGCAGTTCGTTACCAACCAAAGAATCTTGAAACCATAAAATATTAGAAAAATGATTTTATCGGCTTTAGTTAGCGAACATACCCTTAACACCACTAAATTAGTATTTTCTCCGCACGCAGGTCCAAGTGGAGCGTATAGTCCGGACGGTACGATGGGCTACATGATGGGCGAACAGCAAATGATGCATCGACCGCCCGGAGATCCCGCTTTCCACAATCAGTACGCGCATTATCCCGCCGAATACTACGGCCATCATCTGTGAGGTAAGTCGACACAATATTTGATTTCAAATTTATAATGTCGTTTGACGAAGAAGAAAACAAGGTTATAGAACTTTTACAAAACTTTCTATATGATGGTTATCACCAAACAAAAAACTCCATTGTAGGTAAGCTTGGCCTGTTATGTAAATCATGTGATAAGTAGTTGTTGAAGCTCCAAAACAAAATGTTGAAGATATGTACCAGTAGAACCTTCAAAAAGCATTTTCATTCATTCATTAGAAGTTAGGTTGCAATTCAGTGAAAAATCAAATCAAAGGTTGTTTCATAGAATTCCAAATCTTGTACCTACCTGTAAAGCAAGCTCTAACATGGACATCCATAAGATAAAGTTGACTTTACCATTACCAGATAATAACGAACCTTTTGAAATTTTATGTCAGTCTGGGTCATTTTTTGCCACACCATCCAGTTTACAAATCTAGTAGTGTCACAACACCTGTACGACCTGTATCAATGTTTAAAAAAGGGTATCAATCTTATTGAATTGATCCTTTCCATGATTTCACGTTTTCGAACAGAGACATTTGACATTGGACTGTCCATGCTGTGTTTCTATTGCTCTCACATCTTTCCCTTTATTGTACACTTTGTTAACTCATGCATATAGAGACTTCATTCTTTCAAAATGTCTGGAAAAGTGCTTTTCTGCTTCCGATCCCTAAGGTTCCCGTCCCTGAGGAGTTGAAGCATCTTAGACCCATAAGCATTCTGCCAACACTTTCGAAGGTCCTGGAAAGAGTGTTGGAGAGCCAGATTCCATTCAGTCTGGTTTCCGTAAAGACTACAGTTGCGCAACAGTACTTCTAAAGGTTACTGACGATATTCTTGAGGCGGCTGACTCTGGTGAACTCACTGCTTTGATCTTGCTGGACTATTCATGAGCTTTTCTTGACAATTCTGAGGTATCTTGGCTTTGAAAAAAACGCCTACCAACTTATTGAAAGTTACCTTTCTGGAAGAACACAGTCGGTGAAGGTTGCCTCTAGCGTGTCTGGATTTTTGGATGTTGCACGTAATGTTCCACAGGGATCGATTTTGGGGCCTTTATTTTTTACTTTGTACACCTCACAACTAACAGCCTGAGGCACACCAATGTGCACCTGTACGCAGACGATACCCAACTGTATATCATTTCGTCCAGAAAACATTTTTGAAGCCGATAAACTAAATGCAGACCTAGACCAGCTGTTGAGGGTCTCAATTAATCCCTGCTTGCTGCTTAATCCTAAAAAGTGACAGGTTTTGCTCTTTGGACGTGCGCAAAGTCGATCTGAATGCCAGGACATGCTTCGAATCAGCCTTGATGGTTAGTGATGCCGTTTTTAGTAAATTTATACTAGATTCAGTACACTCAAGTGTAATTTAGTACGTCAGTACACCATCGAAAATCACTATAGCAATTTCCATTTACAGAATCAGTGCAAAAAAAATGTACCTATCTCTATCCTTACATTTTATATGCTTTTAGCAAAAGATGCAGAGTGCGAAAACAATGGTATTGTATACAAAGTTCCTAAAATTAATAGGTTGTCTGGTAATGGGTAACTTCATAACGCATCTGGGGTGCCTTAGGGCCGGTATTATAAAGCCTGGTTGACCGAAGGTTGAGTTTCAACCATAGCGATTGAATTGACATTTCCGTATGATTTTATACCATTGAGGTTTTTTTACGAACATTTCAGTTCAACCGTCGGTTGAAATTCAACTTTAGTTCAACCGGGCTTTATAATACCGGCCCTTATGGAGATTTGCATTATGTTGAGGCACTCCAGATGACGTCATAAAGTTATCAGGGCCGGAACTCTGTAACGGATAACGATCAATATCTCTATCTCTAGTGGCGTCCCCTCTCTATTGATTTCGATAAGAGAGAAGAAGACAGCAAGTGCCATAGCGATAGGGATAAGGATCTCTATCCGTTACAGAGTTCCAGCCCAGGCAACCTACCTCTCTCAAACAACCTTGCTAGTTCCTAATATACGTTTAGAATTGGCATGAGTAACTTGTCAAATAGTAGCAAGTGTCCATTCTAAAGTCGCATTTCCAAAAGAGATTGAAGGTTCAAGGAACAACTATAAATTCGGCCATTAACTATGACTTTATGACGTCGGAAATGGTGACATACCAATATGGCGGCGATTACCAAAAGCGAAGCCGATAAGCAGTCCTGTGCATCAACTGGTTTGTGATTTTTGTAGAAACAGACCCAATAACTTCGGCCCTTCGGGCTCGTATAACTTCGGCCCTTCGGGCTCGTATAACTTCGGCCCTTCGGGCTCGTATAACTTCGGCTCTTCGGGCTCGGAGTTATATGAGTCCAAAGGGCCGGAACTATTTTAATTATGAGCCGGAGGAGCGGAGGTTATTCGAGCCCGAAGGGCCTGAGTTATATGGGCCCGAAGGGCCAAAGTTGTATGGACCCGAAGGGCCAAAATTTTATAGGCCCGAAGGGCCAGAGTTATTTTATTCACGAGCCTGTAGTGCCGGAACTCAGTCTATAATTTTACTAATTAACAACTTTCCAAAGATAATACATACACACCTACAGGATTGTTTATCGATCTCGTTTTTTATAATCACCATCATATTGGTGACGTCATAACTAAGTCATCAGCTGTTTAAATAGCCTACGTCAAGGCGAGAAGTAACGTGTTGCTTACGTCACAACTGATGATTTGCCGGAAGGACATTTGTTCCACACAGGCTATCCTGTAGTAGTATAAATGCGTTAAATCGCCCTATTGCCAACGATTAGCGACCAAGTAAATTATAACGAAAAAAGAACTATTAATAAATCAAGGATTACAAGCGCATTATTGTCACCTGTAGTGACATCACTACAGGTGCGCGACTCTGTTTTGAGTGATTCTAGTGCGACACACTAGCTGTTTATAAATGCTATAGGCACACCGAGTGTGCGCACTCTATTCCGTTCAGAAAGTACTTCGGGCGCGCTCCAGTTGAAACCAAACATGTTTTACCAAACGGCCGCCATTTTTGCAAATATAATTAAAAAAATGGCCGTTTGTCAAATGTCATTGTCAAGGTTTTTGAAATAACGGTGGGTTCCGTTGCCTAGTTAACCGGTTGGTACAATGCCGGTTGACAGCGGTTGACAACGATTGACAAGTGGTTACTGAAAATTTCGGTTTCATACGGAACGCTTTTCGAATCGTTGAATCGCCGCCGGTTGTCTTGGTGACATATTTGAAATAACCAACCGCGTTCCGTATAGACCGGTTTTTCAGGAACCAGACATTACGGAACATGTAACAGTAACCAACGTTGGCAACGGAACCCATCCTAAGATTCCAAGGCCAACTTGATTGGAACCCGAGTGAAGTTTCCTACGAAACAGTGTTGCCACCCTTAAAAAAAAACGTATTATCGTTTAATCGAATCATCGAATGAACGATGTCACAACTCAGAAGTTACAAAAAAAAAATCGTTACGTCACTCGCATAAATGCTTAAAATCTGTGTTAAAATTGTTAGGTTAGATATTTAGTACATTTTTAGGTAATTTAGAACAAATCATCGCCAAAATTGGTTTGTCTCGCGGCAACACTGTTGATGGTCAGACTTTAAGTTGCTCAGCGGCAGCTAGAAACCTTGGACTTTTGCTTGATGCTAACATTAGGTTTTCAGAACATAATAATAATTGTATTAGAAAGGCATTCGCTAAGCTGAAGGTCATTTTCAATGAGAGACGCCTCTTCAATGCTAATCTCAGGAAATGGTTATGTGACAGTGTGGTTCTATCACAATTCACATTTTGTGATGCTTTCTACGGCCTATGTCTGCTCGAAAGGGATGCCAGACGTATTCAACTTTCGTTTTAAATACCGAGGAGAATATTGTCCATGACTCTTTGGAATGTGGACGGGGCATTTTTCAATCCAAATGGCATACGTATGAATTCGTAATGGCCATTTTCTACGGAAAACTTGGATTTCGAAACATCCTTGGGGTCTACTTCTATTTGGTGGTCAAGGGTGGTAAAATATTGACATTTTTCCAATATGTAATTGATCCAGAAGATCGGAAATACTAGACAGTCATCTACAGTAAAGTCCGTCGATTTTAATCTGACACTTCAAAGGAATGAGAGCCTGATAGCACCCTGCATTGAAACCTCAATGGTTACCTGACGTCACACCGGTTTTTGCCATATGAAACACCCTCTCGCTCCTCATACGGAAAGTGTCAGTTAAAAATGGACGAACAATAAGTTCGTTGACTTTACGGTAGTGAATTACGACGCGTCATTTGGGTTTGCCAGAAGCATCAAGTTTCTTAGGAATGACCCAGACGAGAGAAGACCATGAAGATACAGAATGGCGAACTGTGCTCAGGGATGTTCCAAACTGCACAATTGTGCATATTGATGCACACTTCCAAATTATATGCACAGTATGCACCTTAATCTCTAGATATGCACATTATGATTTCTAGAATAAATCTGCCACAATTTTTCAGTCAATAAATAGAACACAAAATATTCTGAATTTGGGGTTTCATTTTATAACGATTTCCATTTGTCGAACCAGTGCAAAAGAAATGTATCCTTATCCTTACATGTTATATGCTTTTAGAAAAAGATGCGGATACACTCAGTGCGTACTGACTGACAAATGGAAATCGCCATCAGTAAATTTGTACTGAGTGTAACTAAATACACTGTACTCTATACATACTCCCATACTCTACACTCAGTACACTCTACTAATCTGTACGCCACCAAGGATGATACACATTACCACTACAGGATGGCCTATCCTGCAAGGCCTGTGTAGAACGAATCCTCCCAAGCCAAATCACCAGTTGTAACGTAGGCAGCATGTTATTTCTCGCCTTGACGTAGACTGTTTAAACAGCTGACGATTTAGTTAGACGTCGGAAATGGTGACAAACCAATATGGCGGCGATTACCAAAAACGAGGCCGATAAGCAATCTGTAGGTGTGTATCATCCTTGGTACGTCACTGCCCCCAGCCCAGTCCAGCCTGCTCAACAATCGACAATTAAAATACAAAATATTGGCAATTGGAGCTGGCAACGTTGTAAGAATAAACATAAACATACATATTGGCAACATTTGAAAGCATTGAAAAAAAAGGGGATGCACATTTTGTGTCGGATATGCCCACTTTTTATACTGTCAAGTGCACATTTACAAATTCTCTCGGAACATCCCTGATTGTGCTTGGTCTACTAGCATTTTGGTTTCATGTTTATTCAGCAGAACATAACACAACATGGCATAAGGTCAAAAGTAGTCGATGTTAGAGTGTATTTCAAAGCTCAAATGGATATGGGCAGGATATGTCGCACGACTGACGGATGGGAGATGGACCAAAAGAATTCTCGAGTGGCGGCCTAGAAGTGAAAAACGCAGCCCGGACTGACCTTGCACTCGCTGGTCAGACGATATCACAAAAATAGAGAAAAATGGACACACCTTGAGGTGCCCATAATTTCTTCATCAGAATCAGAATCTACCCAGCTTTCGGAATCAGAATCTGACTCATTGAAGTAGGAATGTTTTCGAAGGTAGTATTTCCCATTAATTTCTCCCAGTCCTCGTGTATCAAAGTTTCACAATGCCTAACAGAATTTTGGCCACATGTCTGGAGTATAGGCAGACAAAGCCTTTTTCTATAAACTTACAAATCTGTTTTTCGATGAAGCCTCCCCGTTTATGTGCTTGTTGTGAAAGTTCTTAGTGAACACAGAGGGTGAACACCCATTCCATCTCAATGGGATTATATTGACAATGGTATGAAGGTAATCTCAAAACTTCATGGCCATGTCTACTGTGAACCTCGTCAATCACATTTTTTGTTCAAAATATAAAAATATGCTTCAGACCTGCTCTGCGATTTTTCAGTGTGTCATCAATATATGAAACATGCGTACTGTTCACTTTGAGTTGATATCATCCTTAAATTGTGCGTAGACGATTGAAAACATTAGTCAAGTCTTTGATGTATTGTTCAAAAGTCGTGGATAAAATTATTAAGTCATCAAGGTATGCTAACATCTGGATATGCGGCAAACCTGCACAAAAACGGTTTATTAGCTTTTGAAACGTTACTGGGGTCGTGGATAGACCAAAAGGCATGGTGCTATATTGATAAAGTCCAAATGGAAGTTTTATCATAATCTTCTTCTCTGACAGGTACTTGATGATAACCACTCTTCAGGTCTAAGGTGGTTATATAGATAGCTTAGATTGTAGCCCTCTACTGGGATAAGAATTCTACAGACAAGAGAAAATTTATTGCTCGTAGAAGTCGACTTTCAAAAATTTATTCCTACTGTGGAAAGCATTTCGTTGGATGTTTCAATGCTGTCAATAGTAGCTGAAAACTGTAATACTGAATAGAAAATTGAATGGAGAATGAATCCTCCAACAGCTGCCTGGTGGGGTGGTTGGTGGGAGCGACTCATAAGGATATTTTACGTAAAACATTTTCATACGCACCCCTTGTATACTCAAGGTTCTTGTAGGAAGCATACTTCGTGGAATTAGTTAATAGAAAGACAATTTCAGAGCCTGGAATTGGGAAAACATTCATGTTTTCTTTTCTTTGTAGTTAATTCTCAATTTTTGTCTATTCCCGGCTCTTGAATTTCTGTTTTCTTCCAAATTTCTCTAAGGTCCGGATTATACATCTTCAGAAAAACTTGCTGGTAGCTACCGTTGCTTTTATCCGTCATACCTGACAGTTTATTAGAAGGTGAATAAACCTGCCCTTAGATTTGTGAAAATAAAGAAAATTCAAGAGCCTGGAATTAAAAAAAAATATGAATGTCCTGATCATTCAAAACACTGACATTTTGCGTTTAACCAATGACGTTATATGTATCTTTTTCGAGGGTGTAACGATGTATGTATATATTGAATTATCGTATCGATAAGCCCTCCTTGGAAGGTCTAGAAAAGATACCTATTCATAGATGAATTTGACTGTATTTTTCAAAGCTTACTCTTACTATTCCAGAACTTCAAACAAGTATTTCGACTAAACTACAAATAAGCGAATTATAACAATTTTGTAGAATTGGAAGAATTTGCAAGAGATAATAGAGATAGTGGAAGCAAACCAACTGAATAAACCTGAAGTCAAATAAAGGCTTGCTACAGCAAAAGGATTATTCAGGAAGAAATTGGCCCTTAAATTTTATATCATCAAAATATTCATTCATATAGTCAGTTTCCCACATTTTCACAGCGATTATGGTCGGGAGTTTTGGTTCTCTTTTCAACCAGCAAAATCACGATTTTTTATTTCATCCTCAAACGACATTATGAATCCTAGTTTTCTTTAGATTTATACAAATACAAATTACAATAACATACTAAATCATTCTTTATTGTTTCAGGTTCCCTAAACCCGTTTGTCACAACGACAATGGACATAGAAATATGCAACTCTTAAATGTGATTATATTTTGTACAAAGTGTAAATGTAGTGCCCCAGTGTCTAGGTAAAGTAAAAATTAAACGGGAAGGACTTGTACAAAGAAAAAAGTATTAGGACTGCTGACTGCTGTAAATACGAAAAAATCTGTGGGTGGCGTGAGGAGGTTTCCCTCCCTTCCAGCCGAGCCAGGGAGTAAAAATAACAGGATTGTGTTATATAAAAATAAAAAAATGATGTGGTATCGTAGCTTATAGGTTCCTTGATGTGTTACCTCTAACATCCTCGTCCTAGTCCTTTGAAAAAGAAACGTTCAGCCGATCCTTTTTATCCCATCATTCCCTTTTCCACTACACAGCTAGTATACAATAATCACAAATTTGTAAGTGGTTTGTTGTCCAAATATTTTAAAGTTGGCAGCTAAATTTTTAGTTTTTTTGGACATCAAACTAAATATTTAAGCAGTATGACGCGTGCGCAAGGAGTTCAAGGTTGTGCTGTTTGTAAATTTACTATAGTTGTTATCTGTTGTGATTTTTTCTTTTTGCGATATCAAATTACCTTGTTTTGTGACGATTTGTTTTTGTTGTTTGCCTCATTGGATTTGTAATAATAATTTATTGAAGAAATTGATTATTTTTGTTTTCGGCGAATAATTTCTCAACAAGTTCCAATACTGTAGAAGTCTTACTTTTATAGAGCAATATGAATGTATAGAGTGCTAAATTCAATTATCATAAAATAGATCTGCAATTATTATTATTATATTTCAATGGGCAAAATCATTTTATTAATCCTCAAGATATTCGATATACGTAAAACTATCAACACAATTTCATTGTGTCTAGGGTAATATCATTAAAAAGTGCAATGAATTGCTGAAACCTTTAGATTTTGTTGCACTTGCAATACAAAAGTATACAGAATGTTGTAAAGTCCTCAGGTGGTCAACGGATTATCAAAAAAATATACGAGATTTTCAATTATTCTTAACTTATCTTAATACTTATTTATTTTACTAGTGCTCAGATGAATATGGACCTTTTTGCTTCATAGCTTAGTTTTGTTAGGTGTTTCTTAATTTTATTTGTCAATATAGGTATCTTTAATGTTCAATTTCAGTTACAATTTCTACAAGCTGCATTTTATTCTTAATCTGAACTATGAAGCAAGGAAGTTTTCATTTGTGCTTGCTCTACGGGGTGTTACAAATTCGTGAATAAGCATATGGGGATATGATATACAGGGTTGATTAAATTGGAGCAAAATTACACAATTTCTTGCAATTTTCCTCCTCTACACTACACATACGCTCTATCGATTGGAAAATTCAAAATTAGGAAAATATAAAAATTTAAAATTTCAAGTTGTTTATCCCCTTTGAATTTTTATTTCAAAATCTTTAAACTTGACAAAGACAAAGTTATGAAGAAAAAGTAAAGTTGATGATGGTGGCCCATATTGAATATCTCCAGAAGTATTCGGAATTTGATAATTACCCCATACTTATTCGCGAATTTGTAAAATTCTATATACCTACTCCTAGCTCAAACCTCCTCAGATTGTTCAAATTTGAGATAAGCAAGCACATCTCTAACTACTCAAACTCTGACCATTTCCTGACGATTTGAACGTATTATTGGCGGTAGAATAATCGAGAATCGCTTTTTTTGAGCTTATTGTTAATGTTGTCCAGTGATTGTTCTACCCCCAAAAACAAGCCTCCGAACGTTTTGTCCACGTCCCTACTCTCTGTCTTGCCAGATATACAAAACGTATACGACTTTAGTGATGTTATATAGGTTATTATTGTAATTATTATATAAATTTATCTCGTGCGCAATCGCTGGCAATCGAGCTGCGGAACTGGATGAAACATTGCTACCCCAATTATTGTTTAATTTTACTTTTTCAGCGTTACCTTTGTTAAAAGCTGCTGGGCTAGCCGCGGGTTCTTGTTACGTATACCGATTTACACGAGACTATTTTATAGTTTTTTGATGGTGTATTGTATATATTGTATTAAGTATTTATGCATAGACGAAGTATACTAACGCCCTAGAGGGCCCGCCCTCGGCTCGCCCTGCTTACTGTTTTTGTGTATGTATTTTTATTGTAAATACAATTTACCTCCGATGAAAAAAAAAAAAAATGAAACAATGTTGGCTGTTCGTTTTAAGTGATTTCCATCATGAATCATTATCGCCTTATCCAATGTATACGAAATAAAAAAAAAGTAAATCAATACAGATCAATGAGAGAATATCGTACCTCTATGTTAAAACAAAAAAAAATAATAATAATGTATGAGAGGAAACTTTATTGTGTTCTGCTTTTTAATGAAATTATATATTAATATTATAAACAATTATGGGACGAGATACCTCAAAAATTAATTTGGTAACGCCGTGTCCTCTGTATAGTGTTTTTTTGAAACGTGAGCATTAAATGCTACATCTTGTGTACTTATATAAACTGTGTTTTCATTTATTTTCCTATACCTATTTCCTTATTCAATTCCTAAACAATCTCGCAACTGAGACAATTATTGCAAGATTATGTAGGAGATTTAACTCAATCTGGCAATACTGCCTTATGACTAGAATAATGGCGAATGGAATTTCAAATTCCTTATGAAAAATTGCAATTTTGTTTAATTCCGCAAAAGGACATAGAAGAAATGTTATATCCAAATAAACTTGACCTAAACGAGAAATGCCCTCAACAGAATTGTCATTGCTCTTCTGGTTTTTCAGATACAAGGAGTTTTTAAAAATATTTTTTGCATTATGTGACACTCCTTGTATGTCGGCTCCCTCATAAGTAATTGAAAAGTTGACGAGTTCTTATAGATTATTCTATGCAAATTCCAGTTGCGTAGTCAGTTTTTCTCTAGAAGTGATAGTGTCCTAATTATAAACGAAACATACATGTTTTTCCAAATGAGACACCCTGTATATTATTAATTCGTTGGATAGTTCTGCTTCTGGTGATTTCAATGAGGTTTAATAAGGTTTATCTCGAGGGGTTTTTCACCTTGTTAATCGATGTGCAAATCACTGGTTAATGCATGTCAATACTATGTCAGTATCGTCAATACTATGCAATACTTGTTGATATTTAAGTAATATGTGTAAATATCTAGGCAATATGTTAATACCTGTGGATAATATGTTAATATCTGGGATTCTGGCGAGATTTTAGTCTGTCAATAACATGGCAATACCTGGTAATATTATGTGGAAATATTTTGTTATTACATGGAAGTAGTTGGCAATAACTTGTACCTATTACATAAAAATATCTGTTGATACATGGAAATATCAGTTAATACTGTTAATCGGCGTACAAATATTGTTAGGTGAAAACCCCCTCAGTTATCATCATTAACAATTTCCGAAAAAAATATATGTATCTGTTTTTATCATATAATAGGTCGACCAATGGAATTGCAGATTGCGTTTTTATCCGTCAGATTGCATAGGTACCGGGACGCGATTTTACTAAATATAAACTATTACAACACAAGACACACCCTCAACTTCGTCATTGCAAAATATAATCGGCCTCAGCGCGATTTTACTAAATATAAACTATTAGAGCACAAGAGACGCTAGCATTGCAAAATATAATCGCGCTCAGCAGAATCCTGCAAAATCTAATCGTTGACAGCCTTTTGACAGCACAACGTGGCTGATTCGTATAAATAAATCGATTGAAAAAGTGCTGTTGTGATGGCACACGTGTTGTTTACGAAACAATAATCTATGCAGTTTTGGCAAAGTTTTTTTCACTATCCATTGTGTCTTTGTTATTATTGAAAATTCATTCTCCCACTCATTGCAACGCACCTTGTTAATCGATGTGCAAATCACTGGTTAATGCATGTCAATACTATGTCAGTTTCGTCAATACTATGCAATACTTGTTGATATTTAAGTAATATGTGTAAATACTGTAAATATCTAGGCAATATGTTAATACCTGTGGATAATATGTTAATATCTGGGATTCTGGCGAGATTTTAGTCTGTCAATAACATGGCAATACCTGGTAATATTATGTGGAAATATTTTGTTATTACATGGAAGTAGTTGGCAATAACTTGTACCTATTACATAAAAATATCTGTTGATACATGGAAATATCAGTTAATACTGTTAATCGGCGTACAAATATTGTTAGGTGAAAACGACCTCAGTTATCATCATTAACAATTTCCGAAAAAAATATATGTATGTGTTTTTATCATATAATAGGTTGACCAATGGAATTGCAGATTGCGTTTTTATCCGTCAGATTGCATAGGTACCGGGACGCGATTTTACTAAATATAAACTATTACAACACATGACACACCCTCAACTTCGTCATTGCAAAATATAATCGGCCTCAGCGCGATTTTACTAAATATAAACTATTAGAGCACAAGAGACGCTAGCATTGCAAAATATAATCGCGCTCAGCAGAATCCTGCAAAATCTAATCGTTGACAGCCTTTTGACAGCACAACGTGGCTGATTCGTATAAATAAATCGAATGAAAAAGTGCTGTTGTGATGGCACACGTGCTGTTTACGAAACAATAATCTATGCAGTTTTGGCAAAGTTTTTTTCACTATCCATTGTGTCTTTGTTATTATTGAAAATTCATTCTCCCACTCATTGCAACGCAAGTTGAAGTCGTCGGAATCGCACTCTTCGTCAGATTCCCCTTTTAACTTTAAGCGGAGTATATTGTAATTGTTTTAATTTCCATGCTCGAAAATAGGTGTGTTTCTGCAGAAATCACAAACCAGTCGGAGCGAATTTCATTGGTTGAAACTAGTTTTCCGACTGTTTCTGACTGTTTCCAACCAATGAAATTCGCACTGACTGGTTTGTGATTTCTGCACAAACAGACCTATTAACATTTTTATTGTTATACAATGGATTAATAAGTTGAATTAAATTATCCATAATGGAAACACACAACACTAACAATAATTATTAACTTCTAACAAGTACAATTTGAGGAATTGAGGTTAGATCTGCCACGTCATGCTACAAACGATTAGATTTTGCAGGAATGTGCTGAGCGCGATTATATTTTGCAATGACGTCAAGGGCTAGCGTCTCTTGTGCTCTAATAGTTTATATTTAGTAAAATCGCGGTGAGAGCGATTATATTTTGCGATGACGAAGCTGGGGGCGTGTCTTGTGCTGTAATAGTTTATATTTAGTAAAATCGCTACTGGGACAGTTCACCAGAAGGTGAATAAACCGACTCTTAGGGAAATTTAAAAGGAAACAGAAATTCAAGAACCTGGAATAAACAAAAATTGAAAAACAAAATGAGAAGAAAATTAAGAAAAGGTGTTTCAGACAAATTTTGTAGTAAAATCTGTCATTTCCTACTCCCAGACAGCGCACGCACAGTTTTAAAGACGTCTTTTTTATGTCTGCATTATGTCTGAAAGTCTAAAAACAAAACAAAAACATACATCAGGAAGACGTTCTTTTGCAGCATAATATGTCGTAAATTCACCTCTTAGAGATAACTATATTTGGTATAACCAGGCCTAAAAGTGAATAGAGTTTATGTATTATGTATCTCATGGCGGTTTAATTAAATGGAGAAATCAGATGAGTTTCATACTTCCCTAGTTCAATTTCAGCATCTTGTAAGCAACTCTGAAATATGTTTTAGTCCTTAATTATTCTTAATAAGAAACCTATTGATAATTTTTGTGAAGAAAATTCTAATTTCTTCTTCAGTTCATCCTGTTCTAGCATCTTTTGCAGTTCTGAGATTCACCCTTTCTTGATATCATCCAGTGTTGGAAATGCTGATTATTTGCTACATAGTTTCTGTCAGCATTTTCATCCCCATATTTCTATTTTCTTCTCCATATTTCAAGACAATAACCCATAGGAGAGCATAAGTAGGTATTCCTTAAAGTGACATTTCTCTATTTGAAAATATTATTCAAAAAAATACCTAATCTCTAAGGGCCAGTTTCTCCATAGCAAGTCACCCCCGCGGATCAGGCATCCGGGTAAACATTGTAACTAGACACGTTTATCTTGGAGTTAGAACCAACCCGGAGGTGGCTTTCTATTCAGAAACCGGCCCTAAGGATTCCTTAAAATAGTTTTCAAGATATCTTGATATTGATTTATTTTTTTTAACCTGCCTATTGGTTGGTATGTTGAGGCAACCCAGATTTTATCGTGTATCACAGATCCAACATAAACACGACCTTATCTGCACTGAGTGCGGAAAAGTGCAACTTTGAGAACCGAAATGCGTGCGGAAAAGTTCTACTTTGCGCACGCTCGTAGGATTTTTTTTTAAATCTTTATCCTTATGTTTTACATGTTATTAGAAAAAGATGGGAATATACTCAGTGCACACTGATCGATAAATGGAAATCGAAAACTTCAACATAAATCAGAAAATGGTCAGTTCGTAAGCAGCTTATATTTTAGAATTTGTTAGATGTAATTCAGAAATTTTCAAGTAGGTATCTAACAGTGTTGCCAGACGTACGATAATTATCGTATTTGTACGATAATTACAAGAGGATACGATGTACGATCGATAATGGATAAATGTACGATAATTTCTAAATGTTGATAAATTTTTTAAAAAATACACTGAAATCGCTGACCTGATTAAAAATTGAAATACCATCTTTTTTTACCAGTGCCTGAAATATTACGAGGGTTAGGGGATAACAGAAATTAATTGTTTTTTTCATTTATATTTTTTCCAAATGTTTTTTTAATAAAATTATTGGCAATTACAACCTAACCCCTTCAATTAAAGAGGGCCACCAGCCGCCGATGACGTCACACTGATAAAGTCAGTTTTCTACGATAAAATCGTCCAAAAAACGATAATTATTACAGCATTGTACCATAATTTGGTTTTGGACATCTGGCAACACTGGTACCTCAGCAGATTTTTCCAAATCATGACATTAGGTGTAGGTGACCCATTATAAAATTTATTTTTTCTAGGACCGTGCGGGAAATGGTTCTTCCCGCACTATTCGCTGTGCGAAAAGACTTTTTTCCGCACGAAAAAATATAGTTCCTAACTCTTGCGAGAAGAAATTTCCGGCACGAGGGTGCAAAGCTTCCCGCACTCGTTAGGAAAATAGTTAATAGGTATATATAGGTAAAACTACATTGATATAGGTTTTTTTATGTTATATTTAGCATAACGTCATCGAACAAGGACAGACAATGTTGTCAAATGACTATTTTTTTTTAAATATAATTTACCAGAATGTCATGTGTCAATAATTTTGACGACAACTAAAAATATAACGGAATGGAAATTTTTATACAAGTCGTGCAATGTCGCGCGCCGTTGCCAACCAAAAACATCTGAAATTGCCCTACATTAAATGCGTTGAAAAGTACTTTTAGTTTTTTTAGGTTGGCAACAGAAATTTACTACATGTGACGTCATCCTAAATATAACGTAAAAATTCTAT